CTTACACCACAAGTTGTTTTTGCTGAAGGTTGGAAACAGACATCCATCGATCAATTTACATTGTGGTATCAAGGATGTGATGCAGTTACTGGAGTAGCACAAGTTACAGTTGAATTTTGATTGACAATATACTAATGAAACACTATTGATTTATTTTAGAATACGTTCATAGTTCTATAGTTTCGCTTTTATTTGGTATAATAAAAAAAAATGTTCTCTGCTTTTTTTTCATCATCGCAATATCGATAGATACTAGGTTTTTTTTTAACTTTCTACTATTATTACTTGAAAATCGGCAGTGACATGAAAACGATATGCAAGATCGTGAAAGTCTAGATCGAGGCATGATTTGTCTGTCTGAATATGATTTATTTCTGTTGTATTTCTTACTTCGATCGATCATCGTACTTGTCAAGATGATCAATTGTGGGATTTCGAAGAAAACAAACTTCATTCTTCTTTATTCGAGTATTCACTGAGTTCTGTCTGATGTGTAAAATGAAATCGCCTGTTATTTTTGTAGATATTAAATATGCGTATAAAATTTCAATATTCGCTTGTTTCTCATAGAAAAGTCAAGACTAGCCGCGTAACAACATTCTTATCATAAGCCAACCAACAACGCAATATACTACTTTTTTTTCATGATAGCTTCTTCAATAGATTCGACTTGGATGGGTGTAGTAATCCACACTCTAGGAAAAAGAATACTTTACTTGAATTTCGACTTCTATGCGCTTTAAGCACAAATGAAAGTTTCTAGTGTGATGTGATTCGTTTGCAAGCAAGCAAAAAAACAAAACACAGCAGTCGAGTGTAACAAGAAAGAAAGAGAGAAAGATAAATACAAGCAGAAGAAATGATAAAAAAGAGAGGTTAAAAAAAAACGAATAAACAAGAGGACGAGGGAAAATGGAAGACAGTCCTTATCATTACTACATCATAAAGAAGGAACAGTTATACAACACTAAACTTTCGTCCCGCAAGAGATTGATAAGATTATTAACATAGTGAGTAGCTCTTTTCATGTTGAAAGTGAATGTAGTCCGTCATTGTATAGTTTTTCATTTTGTTAGTAATACCATCTTAGAGATGGTGAACATCAGTCGTGAGTATATTAAATAACACGATATTTTTTATTATATTGAGCACTAACGGGTGTGAGTGTAAGCTGTTGGTAAAAAGATGATCCACACCTCTTTGTTGCAAGAATCGCGAGACATTGAAAATAATATGAAAGAACTCAGATGAACTGACTGAATTGTCAGTTGAGAAATAAACAACTAAAAAATTCTTGAGAGAGGATTTCGTAATATTTTTCAATAATGTTTGATCTGTTTCAATAAGATGAATTGATCATTGAATCAATATTGAATAGTGAATCAACTTAGATTTGCTTCGAATCTTTTTGTCAAGAATTTGATTCATCGAAAAATTCATTTACGAGTACTTCGTCAAAGTTTGATCAAAAATTAAAATTTAAACACAAAATCAATTCGATAGTGACAAATAAATTTAAATCTTATCAAACTCTAATATAACAGAAAAAGAAAAATGAACAAACAATTGAAATGAAATTTTCAATCTATTGGATGATCTTAATTGAACTTTGATGAAGAATTTGAAAATGAATTTTTCGACAAAAAAATTTTAAATAAATCTAAGTTCATTCATTACGTTTTAGGAAGGTTGTATTCATCATGTTAAAATTGTTATCTCTTCCTTCTTTTAATATTAGTTAAGTATGTTATATAAATTACTAGCGAGAACCCGTGCCTACAGCACGACAGCTTTTTTCTTCTTTAACGTACGACCTTAAACCTTTAACCTTCTACGTCGTAACACATAAAGACACTCCATATTATGTACATAGAAGCCCTACAGCGTGATAGTACGGAGTGCAAAAAAACTCGACCCCTCGAGATTAAAATGTAACTAATTATTTATAATTACAAATGAACTAAATTATATACCACTAGTAACTAAAGTGAATGTACAATATAGACAATATATACAAAACAATTTTACACAATCCTACAATTGAATTCTTTCAATGAAACAATCGTTGTTATTTTCCATCTATGTGGAACTGTTTCGCATGGTAATGATCTTCTTTGCGTTCAAAAATTAAATAACCTTCTCACATTTTATCTTGCTGAATTGTATATAGAGAGATGCAGTTTTTGACGCGCTTTCTCCTAATGCTAAAAGACTCTTGGAGGGAATTGCTCTCGTATACTTTCAGAGCAAAAATATAAAAAACCTTTTTATAAAACGATCAAATTTCCTATTTGTTGAGTTAAAAACACTACATTAAAGACTCTTTAGACACGATTTATATTTGAGAATCTTGTTCTATTATGGTGCATGTAACAGATCTAATCAAGATACGTTAATTAATACTAAAAAGGAGGAATTTTTAATGGTTGGGTGTGGGGTGTGGGTGTGAAAGTGGGTAAGGATCTCTTCACCTCATCCACACCCCACACCCACACCCACGCCCACACGTTTAATAGGATTGATTGTAGTAGTAGCATCAGTTGTTGTAGTAGTATTTATTGTTGTAATAATATTTGTTGTAGTAGAAGTATTTGCTGTTGGAATTGTATTTGTTGTTGTAGTAATATTTGCTGTTGGAATAGTATTTGTTGTTGTTGGAATAGAAGATAATGTACAATCATCACGAGCAACAACATCAGATTGTGTAGATGAATTAATATTATAATTATTTGTCCAGATTAATAAGGTATTTTTTGCTGAATCAAGTTTTTGTTTCGTAGAATATTCTTCAATTTGCTTTTGAATTAATTCTTCATCTTTTTTTATTCTATTTCATTCGACATTCAGCAGTTCATATGCATTCTAAACATAGTCAGATGTTTATGTTTTAATAAAGAGACATTATATGTCTACTTGTTTTGTTAAATTCTTATGACAACTCAAAAAAGCATCACGAAACAAAAGGTAACTTTTTGACTTGTTAGACGATATATTTTATTACTACGAATATGTTTATTTGTTGCTGTTTACTTTTTTTCCAATTTGTTTGTTTTACTTTTCTTTTTCACTGTCTAATCGCCGCTATCGTTAATATCTTTCACAGCTTTGATAGTGGCGCCTGTTGTAAATTCAACATATTTCTAGTCTTTTTATTTTTGTAGAAAGCACTGCTACGCCATTGTTTTTCATATCTCAACGATATTTTTATTTAGTTCATTCAATATGCATTAAAAATATTATCATCTGTAATGCTACTGCAGTGTTTTATAAGTGTCTAAATATTTTTATGGGAGAAATTAGTGTCCTATATATTTCCTATATAGTCGAAGATGGTCCTATATTTTTTTCCGAGCGTTGCTGCGGCTCCAGCTTAAAATAATTAAATATGAAAATGTATCAAGACAATGTCAAGTTTCATCATGAATTAAAAATTCACGAAAAATCATTTAGAATTGTTTAGTTAAAATAAAATTAGATATCTTATAAAACCATAGAAATTTTAAAGTCAAATAAATGATACTATCACAGAAGATAGATTCAATTATGGACCAAACTAAACGGAAAGCGGCTGATTTTCTATCATTGGTAATCAGTTTTTATCTATATGAGGTTTCTATTACTTGACTATCATATTCATGTCTACAAATAAATTATTATTTTAATTCATTGTCATTATCCATAATATCCATAAATAAACATGAAAACTAATGTCATTTCGATTTTGTACAAGACATCGAAGAATTCTAATTATATTCATTAACCATCGATTTGAAGGTTGACAATTGATATTCTAAAAAAAAATCTTAACTTTAGAAAATTTCCGTGAATAAAAAAAAAGACGAACTTTTCTATTCACTAATACTCGAAGAGTAACAATAAACGGATCAATGAATCATAATAAAATATTTCAATAGTGATTGATTCTATCTGAAACAAAAAGTAAAGTGAAATCCAAGATTATCAAAGAAAGAAAAATAACTTTAGATGACGTAATTGAAGTTAGCACAAGATTCGAGTAAATCCAGCCAAGATTCGCCCAGAAACATGTTCCAACTGTCCCATGGAGTGCTCCAAGTACAACTCGATGAGCTCTATCGAATGGTGTATTCATCTTCCCGATAGCTCAAACCCAGTCCAAGAAAACCAGAAAATACTAGATTTTCACCATGGACGATTTTGCATCCATCTATTAAAACCTGCCAAGATTCCCTCAGGAGCATGTTCCAAACGTCCCACTGGTGTTCCAAGTACAACTCAATGAGCTCTATCGAATGGTGTATTCAGACTCCCGATAGCTCAAACTCAGTCCAAGAAAATCAGCAAACACTAGATTTTCACTATGGGCGGTTTCGCGTCCATTTACTAAAACCTGCCAAGATTCGCCCAGGAGCATGTTCCAAACGTTCCACTGTGTTCCAAGCACGACGTGATGTGCTCTATTGAGTGGTGTGTTCAAATTTTCCATAACTCACACTGTGTCTAAGAAAATTTGGTAATACTCGTGTATCACCACAAAAATCCTGGATTTTATGTAGTAAAACCTGCCAAGATTCGCTTAGGAGCATGTTCCAAATATTCCATTGGTGTTCCAAGAACAATGCGATGAGCTCTATCGAATGGTGTATTCAGATTTCAGATAGCTCAAATCCAGCCGAAGAAAATTAGCAAATACTAGATTTTCACCATGGGCGATTTTGCATACATCTACTAAAACCTGCCAAGATTCGCCCAGGAACGTGTTTCAAATGTGCCATTTATGTTCCAAGTACAACTCGACTAGCTCTATCTGATGATATAATTAAAGTTTCAATACCTCAAAGTATGTGTCCCAAAATTGCAAAAGATTGGTTAAATATTAGAAATTATATAGTAAAGTTAGCAGAGATTCGTCCAGAAACATGTTCCAGATGTTCCATTTATATTCCAAGTAGGACTCAATGAGTTCTATTCAATGATGTAATCTGATTTTCCGTGCATCAAACTATGTATCCAAAAATTCCAAAATACCGGTCCAACTCTCTATTCATATTGGAAAATTAGCAGAGGTTCGTCGAGAAACATGTTCCAAACGTTCTATTGATTTTCCGAGTAGAGCTCAATGTGCTCTATCCAATGGTGTAATCAGATATTCCTTACATCAAACTATGTGTTCGAAAAGTCCAAAAAACCGGACCAACCGTGTGTCCATATCGGAACTCATGTAGTAAAATCAGCAGGGATTCGTCCAGAAACACAAATGGAACAGTTGGAACATGTTCTTGAACGAATCCCTGCTACCTTTGCTACATATGTATATAAATCCTAATATTTAACCGATCATTTGGCATTTTAGGACACATAGTTTCAGCTATGAAAAGTCTACTTATACCATTGGATAGAGCTCATCAAACTCTACTGGGAACATAAATAGAACATCTTTCTGGATGAATCTCGGCTAATTTTCCAATATCTATATAACATTGGGCTGCTCTTTTGCAGTTTTTGGTTACATAATTTGAGCTATGGGAAATCTGTTTATATCATTGGACAGAGCTCATAGAGTTTTACTTGGAACATAAACGCAACATTTAGAACATGTTCCTGGGCGAATTCGTCCTAATTTTCGAATATGTATATAGCTTTGGGCTGGTCTTTTAGAGTTTTTGGACACACCGTTTGAGCTATGGAAAATCTGATCACACCATTCGATAGAGCTCATCGAGTTGTACTTGGAACACTAGTCGGGCGTATGGAACATGCTCCTAGGCGAATCTTGGCAGGTTTTAGTAGTTGGATGCAAAACCGCCCATGGTGAAAATCTAGTATTTGGTGATTTTCTTGGACTGCGTTTGCGCTATCGGGAATCTGAATACACCATTCGATAGAGCTTATCGAGTTGTACTTGGAGCATACCACGAGACAGTTGGAACATGTTCCTGCGCGAATCTTGGCAGGTTTTACTGCATAAAATCTAGGATTTTTGTGGTGATACATTAGTATTATCGAATTTTCTCCGGCTCAGTTTGAGCTATAGAAAATCTGAATACACCATTCGATAGAGCTCATCGAGTTGTACTTGGAACACCAGTCGGGCGTTTGGAACATGCTCCTAGGCGAATCTTGGCAGGTTTTACTACATAAAATCCAGGATTTTTGTGGTGATACACCAGTATTATCAAATTTTCTCCGGCTCAGTTTGAGTTATAGAAAATCTGAATACACCATTCGATAGAGCTCATCGAGTTGTGCTTGGAACACACCATGGGGCAGTTGGAACATGTTTCTGGGCGAATCTTGGCTGGATTTACTCGAAGCTTGTGCTAACTTCAGTTACATCTTTAGATAACCCAATAATAACATGTAATTGTAAATCAACAAGAATATCATATACAACAAAGGCTAATACTGCTAAAACTTTAAAAAAAGAATTCAAACAATATAATTTATTTTTCTTAAAAATAGGTCATGTTTACTTGCTTTGTAATAACATAATAAGAAATTTTATCAGTCTTTAGTATACTGCAATTAATGTGAATTAAAAGTGATTGAACAAATTGAATCGAGTACAGCAACTTGAAAATCAACTTCATTTGTATCAACATTTTTTTTTTGTTAGCATTAATTTTTTAGTTAAATAAAAACTATGAAACAGAGTAGGTCGAATTCATGTTTTTTGTGAAGAAATATTTGAAGATTTAATAAAATCTAAATTAAAGGAATATTTTTAAATGAATTAGACTTTTTCACTGTTCCTATTCTAAGATAAATCGAAAGACGTGATACTTTCATCAAAAAGAAATTATTTTCTTTACGATATTCCATATAAATTTTTCTACGCGAACAAGTTTCAGATTCTATACGACATTGTAAAATTTTTAGTTTAATCAATAAAGAAAAAAAATTTAAAGGAAGCTACCTCTTGTGTAGATTGAATAGTTGGGTGTCGGTGTGAATGTTAATATTTTCTTCAATTCACACCCTAGATATGCATATAAGATGAATAATTTTTTTTTCGACGACGATGACATGATATTGATGTACGTCAAATGAGAAAAAGAAAAATTAAAAAAACATACATATATCACTACATAAAAAATGAACATCAAATCACGTGTTTGGAATGATTGATGAATAAATCAATCAATATATTGACTATTGAAAAAGTAACCATAGGGGTATATAAAAACATGAATGCATCATCATAAAACAATACATTCGCGTTTTCTCAATATGATGCATTACAATGTTATTATATACCCGGGTACATTATATATTATTATTATTATTATTATATTATTTACAATGATTTACTTCTCTTTACATTTAACAATCCTTTTTTTCGTTTTTTTAGATGAGCTACGATACAATACAACATTGAGAGGTAAGAAAAAAATTTTTTTACATGCTGAGTTGAGATAACTTATTTCGAGAAAACATAAATATTGTCAGTTAGTATGAGTGTGAGTACTTTTGAGATGAGATGAGATGAGTTGAGTTGTGAATGTTATTACTGTGGGTCAAATAGCTACGTTATCTGACTCAATCGAGAGAGAGAGGAATTTTCTTGTCATAGCGAAGCAGTGTAATACTAGGGAAGGCCTCTATGTGTCGTTGGTTTCTACCGTTCATACGGCATACCTTCGGCCATTGTCCTACCAGTCCGGCGTAGTCCGCTTTGCGGTATCTATGGCATTGACAAGGGATCTCTTCCTTGTCACGCGCGCGCAAGTTAAAAATAGCAGAGAAAAGTCGAAATAAACAGCAATGTGAATAAATTTATTGAGCAAGCGAGAAGAAAAAATTACAGTTACATTTTCTTTTTCACAATGTCAATTGAGTTTGTGACCGTTTTAATATTCGGATGATTAGATGGGAGTGATTTTTGCCAGATAACAAGTGCTTTTTCTAAGAGTGAGAGTGCTTTTGAGTAGTCTCCTCTGTCGGAATACGTCATACCGATGTTGTTGTAGGAAATAGCCAATGAGGGATGATTCGGAGGTAGAGCTGTTTCTCTAATTTTAAGTGCTTTTTCGTAAAATTCAAGTGCTTTCGAGTGGTCACCCATGTTCTTATACACTAGACCAATGTTGTTGTAGGACTGAGCCAAATCAGGATGATTCAGAGGTAGAGTTTTTTCTCTAATTTTAAGTGCTTTTTTGTAAAATTCAAGTGCTTTCGAGTAGTCACCCATATCGTGATACACTGAACCGATGTTGTTGTAGGAAGTAGCCGAATTGGGATGATTCGGAGGCAGATTTTTTTCTTTAATTTTATGTGCTTTTTCGTAAAATTCAAGTGCTTTCGAGTAGTCACCCATGTCGTTATACACTGTGCCGATGTTGTTATAGGACAGAGCCAAATCGGGATCATTTGGAGACAGAGATTTTTCTTTTATTTTAATTGCGTTTTCGTAAAATTCAAGCGCTGTCGAGTAGTTACCCATGTTGCTATACGCAAGGCCAATGTCGTTACAGATATTAGCCAAGGAAGAATGATCTTCTGGAAGAATTTTTCGGTTGATTTCGAGTGATTTTTCATAAAATGCAACTGCTTCTTGATATTGTCCTTGTTGTAATTTCACCATTCCCAGCATATGATAGATATTTGCTCTATCATTGTCATTGGGAGTGGTCTTCAGTAATCCATTGTAGAGTTCTTCAGCTTGATTGAAGTGACCCACCTGAAGCATTAGCTTACCCATTCGATACCATCCAGTGCCGTCGACTTCCTCTCGTATGCGATTAGTAAGAGCAGTCAATTGTGGATCATTGTCGCCGGTAAGACTCAATTGAACTTCCCAAAGACGACTATTGCTAATTGATTGTTTGATTTCGTCGACACGAAAAACAGTATGCATTGAAAATAAAATTTCTTTTTCAGTTTTAATAGCACTTTGCTCGTCGATAAGTGCAAATGGAGTAGTTGCCACCGATATTGTATTTGGATCAATTGTCATGATGAAAAGAACACCCACGATGTCTTTATTTTTCTGCATTGTAGGTTCCACGAATCTCATAGCGATCTTTTGTTCTGTACTAGTTGACAAAAAATTGTTAAATGAAAGAAGCCCACCTTTCGTGTCGGATAGATGCTGAAAGTCTTGTTCGATGAGCCCTTGACCACGATAAACGACAAATTTTTCCATATAATTATCCAACTGTTTGTTATGAAGTTCTTCTAATTGGCGATGAAGATTTCTTATGAAGAAACCCATTTTCGTCATGGCTTCCATATCCAGTGTTCGTAGGGCATAATTCAGCATACCATATAGAAACATTTCGCATGTATACCACCAGACTGGTGTTTTCTGGTGGTATGTACTGTGAAAGTCCTTTAATTCTTTTTCTGATATACCTTTGCTACGACAGTACACGACCAGATCGTTCAGGGGCTTAGTGTCGTCTTCATTGATTTCTAATATAATTTCTTTGAATAACACCGAGTACATGAAAGATGGTTCTAATTGATCCAGATTTTCTTGACTTGATGTTGCTGCTGTCATTTGCTTCGGAACGAAGCTCATGGGAATCGTATCGTGGTCACATTCACGAGTGACCTTCTTTAACGATTCACATATGGGCTTGATTGAGGTGAAAACACCTTCAATCTTTGCCCACTCTTTTGTCCATACTTCATGTTTTGTTTCATTACCACAAAAGATATAAATTGTGTCCACTTGTGACAAATCATGAATCTGCGGTACGAGATGCCGTCCCAAAGCTTCAGACGAGATAATGAACGCTTTTTTGTTATCCATATCATTCAAAAATTGAATACATTGCGCTGGAGTCGTACAGAGATGGACTTCTCTGACGACGCTGCGCAATGTCGCCAGCGTATTTGCGCAGTCTTCATCTTGTTCATCAATGTTACCATCGACCCATATCAGTAAATAATTTTGAAGCCGACCTTGATTTGTTTGGCTAGTCACGCCTAAGGACGTTGCAGTTGTCGCAGCACCCGTTACTGATTTGGAAATATTTTTCTTGGATTGATGTCCACCCATGTTGCATGTAAAATATTGCTTATTGATTCAAAATAATAAATAACTGCTGATTGTTTATATGGAGGTTACCTTTTCTATTTATACAGTTAGTAACTGTTGTTTTTGTTTTCTAGATTTTCTGCGACATGAAATGTGGGTTTTTTTTCGCTGATACTCGATGATAAATTCTCTTTAGCTTCAGTTAAAAAAAGAGATAAGTGCAACAATTTCACTTATCTTATCGTTATTCTTTCCAACTTTCGTGTGTATCTTTTTATTACATTGACTTTCATTGTCCTTATAAAGTGAGGTTTAGATTGACGGATAAGAAAAAATTAAGCATTAGTAAGTATAATGGTAAGGATAAAAGAGCAACAAGCGAAAACAATAGAAAGTAAGGGTATCATTATCGTAAAATATTAGTCTAGGAAGACCTAATATAGTAGAAGAATAACAATCGCAAGAGAGAAAGGATAGAAAATAACTTTCCAGCTTATTTGTGTCGCATTTCACAGAATATAGATTAACAGACAAAAACGACTACAAAATACAACGAAATCCATAATAATATATTGATCACGTTTGGTTCGAATTTCTGCCCATCATTAATAAGCCTTCAGCAGATGTTTGTATTTCGAGATAAATCTAAAACAATGTGTAGTGATTTCGTGTTTTAAAGAAATAGTTCGTCGACAGACTTACATCACAAATGATGGTGTTCATGCCGGATGGTGTACTAAGTACAGTGTCAGTTCCGAACCTTTTGAAAAATGTTTAATATGAAAAAAATACTTGAGAATCCAGCCGATTGATGCGAATGTGGGCGTGGGTGCGAATTTTTTCACCTATTATCCTCACATCCATACTGATACTCACCCTCACATCCACATAGAAAGCGGGGTGTGACTGTTTGTGTATAGAAGTAACTTTTCCTTACTCCGCACTCAACCATACCTACACTCAGACCACAGCACAGCACACTCACAGCCACACTAACATCAACGTCCACGCCCACACCCCACACCCACCCACACCCACACCCACACCCACACCCACACCCACACCCACACCCACACCCACACCCACACCCACACCCACACCCA